TATTCTTGCTATAATATTTTAAAAGTAGATTTAAACTTTATGTAAAAATCTTAGTTAAATATTCAATAAAGATAAAGGCATGACCTCACCATTAACATTAAAAAAAAAAAGAAATTCTATTGATTTTTTAACTTTATAAAGTTAACCACTGTTTTGTTGCAAAAGTAGATTATGATGATGTCTTAGTAGGCTTTAGATATTTTTAAAAAGTTAACTTTATAAACTATTGTACAGTTATGATTTTTTTTTTTTTTAATAACAAAATGAAGATAGTAAAAAAATTTTTATTTTATTTTATTTATGAGGATGCAAATATACCATTATATGTAATTTATATATCATTAAAAAATAATAATAACAAAAATATGAACTCTTTGAACCTTATTGTTAAGATTATATAGATGCTAACATTTAGCATCACTTTGCTATTTTATCATTTAAATGCACAAGTAGCAATTTATTTCATCATATAATGTGTAAGTAACAATTAGAAGTTATATTTATTTATACAAAAAAATAGATAATACCAAAGTTATCTCTTCTGCAAGATAGCTATAACAGCTTATTAATTTGCATTATTGTTATTAAAAGTCGTATTACTCTCTATACCTATACTAAGAAAAATTTTTTTTTTGATGCAGGGTCTATGCTATTACGCACTTTTTATGCATCTAAATATTAAAACCCGCCCAATTCTAAAAAAAAAGAGTTAGAATTAACAAAAAAAAAACCAAAAAAAGGAGGATGATTGATAAATCGGTTTGGATTGGTCGCCTATTTTTTTACAAGACCCCGTGAGCGCCTCAACTTAGGGAAAATTCACATTATATTGCACATTTCGAAACTGATCGGTCAAGTTATTACTAAATAATGTATGCAAATCATAGGCAGAAGTTCGTCTGATTGGCCAATAAATTCAATTTAATTTTACATTTATATAGTTTAGAGAATTTTTTAAAAAAACGAAAACCATCCATAATAAAGTAAAAAAAAAATCTATATAGAAGGTGTCATTAGAGCTTTAGGACTCCATAGTCAAAAATAAGATCTAATTCTCGTCCGTTTAAAAAAAATTAGCTTAGTAATAAGTTGGTTTTATTGGGTTTTGAGAAGTTATTACTATACTAGCTTTTTTATAAAACGGACGAGAATTAGATCTTATTTTTGGCTATGGCTTTTATTTATTATGATTAGTTTTCGGATTTTTTAAAAAAAAGTACTCCAAACTGTATAAATAATGTAAAATTAAATTGAATTTATTGGCCAATCAGACGAACTTCTGCCTATGAGTATGCAAATATCGATTTAAAAAATGAATCCGGTTTCAACCCTAAATACGTATGTACATACTAATTTTTAATTTAAATTTACTACATAGCTATTCTAACAACGAAAGTTATCTTTACGATTTTCTTTTTGAACGTATTAAATCGGATGCAACAAGATAATTTAACAATATCGGTGAATAGAAATGCCGTTCTTAATATTTAGTCAATTTGGTGAATCATTTCGCCGATTAGATTTTCAATCATGTCCAGCATTTAATCTAACCTTAACTATTAGAGCATTGGATAGATAATTAAATAATCATAATAAAAGTAACCAATTATAAATGATTACATAACTCTTAAAATCTGCTATTGGACGTAATTGCTATGCATCGTAATTAATAATCAACAGTCTAGCTTCTAATGTCGGTTTAAACAGGCTCACTTCTTAATTTAGAGTAATTTACCATCGTCATCATCATAGGTTACGTATTGCATTATTATACGGTATTGAATTCAGTGACATAAAAACTTTGAAAAAAAAATTCTGCCAAAGTTAAAATTTTGAAGATATTCCTTATACCATCTTGCAGGCAAATTTGCCTGGAAATTTCATGATTGATATACGATTAAGCTACCAAATTATATTGGATTATAGTCAAAATCGTAGTAAATATGTAGTTATAAATTGATGGTTTAAGGGATAAATTTTCGAAAATGCAAGCTAAACTGCTACATACACATTTTTTATGTATCGGATACAGCCTTAGCGGTAATGACGATCCACTAATAATATTAATGATATATTTTGTAACCTCACTTTATAAACGCCGGTATATAAACTCGATTTATAAAATTAACTGTATAGGTTGTTAGGTACGTACGTAACTTATTTTCAGATTTCCGGTTTTATAGCAAGTTATAAATGCTTTAATTAATTGGCTAATTCCAAATTAACTCCACGCCAAGAAAATGTTACAAACACTAATTTTGTTAAGATTTAAGAACTTTTTCCGTTGAATGTAATACGTACTGTACATATATACCTAAAATAGGTAGAAGGATAGATTATACGTATATATATATATATATATATATTCGCATAACATTTTTCTTTAGACAATTCAAAAAAAAAAACTTTTATTTAAGAATGGGACAATCCTTAAAAAAACTTTCTAAAAATGGCGCACCTAAAATAGAAGTAAAAAATGAAGTAAATGAAAAAGACCTTAAACATAATAAAGAAATATGTTTAAAACCTCTTTCAGCACTTGAGGCCTATCGATTTATTCAAGGTCGAAAATTTCGTTTAGCCCCAAATGTCGCACTAACCCTTCCAAGCGACAATGAAGAAGCTTTAAGATTTAATGATTCTATTAAACTTTTAAAAAATATATTTGATTCTGATTATTCGGCTCCTGTTACAAAATTATTAACTTGTGGAGGTGCAAGAGTACTTGAAATTGGGTTAGTAACTTTCTTTATTAAATTTTATTTTATTTTGATTAGCTTTAACGAATATTTATTATTTAATAGAACGGCTGGTGGTTCTTGGCTAAACGAAATATCAATAAAATTCCCAATGTCAATATTTTTGGGCATGGATGTTTCTACCATTTTTAATCTGGTAAAATTTAATTAAATGTTGAAATATTTTTATAAAATAATAAATTACTAAGATTTATTATATTTTTAGGACTGCCTACCGGAAAATTGTGCGTTTCTTGAACACAACTATCATGATGGAATTCCATTCCCTGATGACGTAATATATAAACATGCTCTTAATTCCTGATCATGTATTCATTCTTATTTAAAATTCTTATTTACTAAACTATTACCAAACTATTACCAAACTGTTAGACGTTCGATTATGTATACCAACAATCCGTGTCTCCAAAATTTCGTGAGAGTTTATTTGATAATCATTTGGTATACTAGCTTTGTTGTTAACGGACCATTTTACTATTTTTTTTATTTATTTATTACTAATAAAACTCATTTATTTATTTAAATAATAAATTAAATAGAGTGAAATATTTCGCGTACTTAAACCAGGAGGTTGGATAGAGGTTAGGATTTAATTTTAATATTAACCAAAAATGTATATATATATATTTATTAAATAGTTTTCAATAGATATACGGATCACCCACTCATATTGTTGACGCCGGACCTGCAACTGAACGGTTTATACTAGCAAGTAATTTCATTCACATGCTTCTTTTTTATTTTTTTTTTTATAAAATAAAAAACCTTTTCAAATTCTTGTGTATTACTTTTAATTAGCATGTAAATGTCTTCAAGTTAATGGACTCAACCCTGATATCGTGTACACTATTCCAGAAAAATTAAAGCGCTTGAATATTAAAAATATTCAAGTGGTCGAAAGGCCACTTTCGCTTTCGCGTCGTAACGCAATGACAGGTGATCAGGTAAAATTAGCATAAAATTTTTTTTTTCAAAGGTTTATTTTCTAAAAAAAGCAGAAAAACCAACTATAAAAATTTCTTTTTTTTCTCTCTCTCTCTTTAAAAGATGATAGGTGAACAGAATCTTCTGCTTAAAACTGTTGAAGCCTACAGAGTAATAATGAAGGTAGCAATAGGGTGTACTGATGAGGAATATGATAAATTAAAAAGAGATATTGCCATGGAGGTGGAGAATATACATATGTATATAAAGTGTATAAAAACTTTTGGCCAAAAATAATTTTGCACCCATTTAAACGAACAAATAAATGTAGAGTATCATCAATTACTATAGTAGCGGTTCTGGTTTCAGGATCAGAGTGTTGTAGGGATACGTGCCGATTTAGCTTTTTGACATTATAATTCTATCTCAAACACCGATATCATCGGTAAATTATGCAAAAGATAAGTATGTATGATTAAGGATTATGGTCAAAATTTTATTAAAATCAAGTCAAAAATATTAAGAATTTCAAAAAATAAGTAAAATAGGAAATGCGTTCTCAAATTGCTAAATAAAAACTTGATTTTTTTTTTAGCGTTTGCAACCATTTTTTAGTATTCAGATGCAATATCAAATTTTCAATGTAATTTGCTATGTATATGTTCCAGTAAATTAGGGTATATAGTAAAATATAGTAAATTAGTAAGGGCAGGACCCTTAATATATGTAGGGTTGGATTGGTCCCAATAAGACTGGTCCTAATAGTATCTATCGGCCCTATCTGCTCGGTCCCCGGTCTCAAAAATAAGCTATTTCATCAATTTTAGCTATCATTATCGAAATAAAAATTATTAAATAATTGTTTTTTAACTATTTAAAAGTTTATTTTAATAGTTAAAATGTTTATTTTAATAGTGTGTATTAACCGATCTGAACTTACTAAAAAACAGAAAACTTTGTAACCTGTTAAAAAGATAGTCATTAACCAGTCTTTTTAGGATTGATCCAACATTAAATATATATAAAAAGCTTTTGTCATATATTTAAATTAAATTTTTTAAAAAATCTGTTGTATTGTTATGTTAAAAAAATTTTTATTAGTATTTTTGTTTAATTAATATTATTAAAAAAAAAGTATATTTCCTAATTATATATAATTAATATACTGTACACTATATATATTAAAAGTATAAATAGAAAATTAATAAACATTGGAATCTTTATCTATTATCTGTTTATTAATTTATTTATTGAAAATCTAAATTTGAATTGATTTAGATATCTGTTTTATTATTTATATCTGAATAATTATTTGAATATTTATTAGTTTATTTAGATATTAATAGTAAATAAATATTTATTTTTTATTTTTTATTTTTTTTTTAATATTAAGGTAAGTATTTGTGGTTTAGGTTTTTATTGATAATATGTTTTAGCTTTGTTATTGTATTACAACAGTCATAGAAGGCAACTATAAAAAAAGTGTACAACTAGTTACTTATACAACTTTAGTCATAGTCTAATTTAAGAAATCTATGATTCTATACTAGTTTTATATCTAAAATCTGCTTTTAAAACCTCTATTTAAACACTCTAGTTTTTGTATTAACTCACTTATTTACTTTATCAACTGTCTTAGTTTTTATTAGTACAGATATATTATGATCACTAGATCTTTAAAATGTTTTACTTATATAAGAAACCTTTGACCTTGTATTAGATCTATTAGAGCTTTTTGTTACTCAATTTTTAGCTAACTCAATATTATTATGGTTGAAACCAATATTTGCAATTAGGGTAATCCTTAAATTACTATATTTTTATAAAGTTTATACAATTCTAGTCCTTTTTTTACAACCTTACTAGTACCTTATATGTTCTTATAAGTCCTATTATATTACTAATCTAATTAGCTTTATATAATATAACTTTATATTTAGTTTAACTAGTAGTCAGATTGATGAAATCTTTTATCTAAAGTTTTTGCTTATACAGGTTATCTGTTTTAAGTTTCTTTTTTTATATTAAGATTTTTATAAATAGTTCTATCAAAGATTGTACTATCTCTCTACTCAAGATTTCTAAACAAAGCTTTTTATAAAGTATATATTTTTTAGATTTATTTATATAGCATTATATATTTTTAAAGTTAGTTTTAGTATATATAATCAAAATTACAGTATTATAACTTCAAATATCTTAATCAAGTTGCTAAAATAGAATCATTTTTCAAAATTCTATTCTCAATAGGATTTAAACTTTGGATCTACTATTTAGAGAATGACAACCTAATTATTATATTAGAATTTTCATTTTTGTAAATAAATATTTAAATAAATTTTAATATAGATAAATAGATAATAAATTTATCTAAATTGAATCTTTAATAAACATAAAATACAAATAAGATTAAATTAAAATTTTAAAAAAATATTTAAATTTTTTAACTTAAGCTATTATATTAGTACTTTATTAAAATTTTTGAATCTACATTTACAATTATATAAAGATATCTAATAACTAAGTCTAGCATTATCTAATTATTTTAACAATATCTAAATACAATTTAATATATTATATATTTTAAACAAAAGTAGGTTACTTATTTAATTAGTCAAAATTTATAATAAAAAGATCTTTATTTTAGAATTAAGATCCTGTACATTTTTTTTATAATTGCTCCTTGTGGTTGTAATATAACTATTAGCTGAATGTACTATCAATAAAATTCTGAGTTACAAGTACTTATCTTAATACTTAAAAAAAAAAAAATAAGAAAGAATTAGATAATGAGACCTATTAAATAAACTTGTATATTCTAGATAAGTAAACCAAAAAGGTTGCCTTCCTTTTGTTAAATATTAAAGTCTTAATAAAAAATAATGTTATTTAAATAAGATGCCATTATCTGTAATATATAATTGTTTTAAGTATATTATATTGTTTTTCTGAAGTTGTTTTTCAAAATTGTTGTACTTGAGATGTTAACTAAGTATTGGTTCAAGTAGTTAATAGTTATCATATATAGTATTGAACTATAAAACATTAGAATTTGTTATAAATGCCAAAATGCTATAAAAGTTGTATAATTTTAATGTTAAGCATAAATTTGTTAGGTTTATCAATAAGTTGGTTATGTTAAAGAATATTAGTATTAGACTGAAATTGATTTAAAGTTGCTATAGTCTGATTTTAGTTGAGATATCAAGAACCTTTGAGTTGTTAATTCTTTGTTAACAACAAAATACATAATGTTGTAGTTGAATATCTCAAATATTATATATATTGTATATATGAGAGTTAAGCATAATACTATTAGGACTAGTACAGAAGAATTTAGTTTTGTGTTTAATTATGATAAAGTATTTGAATAAAATGTTATTACAAGTAAAATGTTTAAAAATAATATTGTATAGTCTATATTCAATAGTAAAAATAATTATAATATTTATAATATATATAGCTTGTTTGTCTATAATTATTTTAATACTTATAATATTAATAAATTGAATTGCTTTATTATAAATTAATTAACTTTGTTTGGTATATGAGTTGTTGGGAATAAACCAATATTCTAGAAATTTAAATAGTTAGTTGACAGAAGTTTATATAAGTAATAAATTAAAGAAGTGAATAGAAATTATAAATAGATAAGAATTGATTTAGTTGTATATTACCTATATAGTAGAAAGTAGAGCTATAGTAATAATTAATTGTAGTTTTTTTTTAAATTTAACTATTTAAAGTATATTATTTATATAAACTAATACTAATACAGAAATTTGAAGTTGTTAAAATTTTGGCTAAAACAGATTGATATTTTATTGTGTAGCCAGAATGTAATCTAAAAAGTCTAAAGCTATTTTATTTATAAAAGAATCATAGTAGATTCACCAAAACAATAGAGTTATAGTTTTTTTTAATATATATTATTTTTCATATTGTAGAAATTAATAAGATCTAAGTTTATAATAACACAATTATGCTAATTAGTAAACAAGTTAGTAAGAATATTAATAAAATTAAAGAGCATATATAAATAATAAAGATTTAGTAAAAAAGTGTAGGATCTACAAAATTATAAACTTTGCTTATGTTTTGAAATAATAGCCAAAGCTGTTTAGAGTTACAGAAAGCTTTTTTAATAATATTATTAAGAATATGTATAGGAATAGCAATGCTATTACCAAATAGAGCTATATAGTTAAAAGGTGATAGAATTTTGTAATGAGTAAAAATATAATTAAGTTAGTTAGTAAGAAGTTTAATATAGAGTTTGTTGATATGTTTAAGCAAACTAATAAGTTTAGTATTAGTTAGGTTGTTATCAAAAATAGGTTTTTTTGAAAATAAGAAAAATTCTTTTTTTTTATTGATTTAAAATTTGATCAGATAAAAAACAGCAAGTAAAAAGAACTATAATTGTATTAAGAAATAATGATTCAGCATGTTTAAGTATATTATAGCTAATGCTTGATAGTTTATATATTTTATTGTTAGAGAGTTGATTAAGAATCTTAAGAACTTCTATAGAAGAGAAATTATTGAGTACTAATTGATACTATGCAGGATTAATATTAGATTTGGATAAGTATTCTTATTGCTATATTATATCAAATAGTTGTAATTAGATATTTTTAAAAGCTGTCCAATCATTAAAATATTGTTGAATATACTGTTTAATAAGTAGTAGTTTAGTAATAATATTGGTTTGTTCTTTAATATTATCAAATTTGACAGGATCTTTGTTTTAGTTAAGTATACTGTTAATTATAAATATTGGGCTATTTTAGAGTTTAGTACATCATTTAGCTATATTATTATTAATTTGTTCTCTTATATTTTAATATTTTTTAAATTTTAAGCATAATAAAATGTTTTTTATTTAGTATTAGCTATAATTATTTAGTTAGATAAAAGGATAGAATTATGAAAAAGAGCAGGAATGTTGAGATAATAAATAGAGTTAATTTGATTAATATCTTAATTGTAAGATACAGATACAAAAGTGTAATTACAAATTGAAGCTTTGATCTGTCTTATAATACTACTAGCTTTTTATTAATAAGTATAGTTTGAATGTCTTAAAAGAAAAATATATTAAAAGTTGTGAACAGTAAATTTTTTGTTTAAGATGTGTTGAAAAGCAATTATAATAATATTATTTTAAATTTTATGCTAAGAAGCTTAAAGTAATTCTGTAGTATTAGTAGCAAGAGTGGTATTGTTAGTTTGAAGATTAGATGTAACTTGATTAGCAAAATTTGGTTAATGTTTTTGATTTATTTGTTTGTAAA